TTCCACTGTGCCAGTACAAGTAAGAGGAAGCTGTTATAGCAGAGTCTGGAATTTGTTTATTCTGCATTCCGAGGGCTTTTAAACACACTAGAGGCTTTGGCGTCGGGAAACCTGTTTTAATGTAACAAAAATAGATTTCCGGACGACATATCATAACAAGGATAATATAAAAATATCTTGAATAGGCCAAAATATTCAGGCTATTGTTGTTTTACTTAGTTCTGGCAGTTGATATACCTTGCAGAAAATCAGCAAGAGATAGTGATGAATTTTTGTTTTAAAGAGTAACCAGCAGTGTATATTCTATCGCGCAAGTAAGCTTTAGCTATCGTTACGGTGACAACCCTGACATAGACGAGACTATAATTATGACCACGGCGTCGTTTACGAACGAAAGGGGAAAGTATATATAGAGAGAGACGAACGTGCAAAATATACATACCATCACTGCATCCGTACAACTCCACCCTTAAAGACGGGTATCCTTGGTATGTTTTAACGTTGATTTTGATAAAACGAGCGACGATTGGAGGATCAAGGCTACGACCTTCCGTATGAACACTATCTGTGTTTCCTTCTAGAACCTTCAACCATAAAGAAGGTAAGTATTTTAGACTTTTAAAGATGTTCTTTTTACTCGCAGTGTGCCTACATACCCTTGCCTTCCTGGACAGTCTTTTTGTAACAAGCTTCTGTGTACCTAAGAAATATCTGTCTTAACATTTGAGTTTTAGCCAGAGAAAAGTAAAAACGGGTATTTTTAAGAGTCCTCTTAAAATGTGCTCTTTTCGTATGAGGGCTAATTTTGCTCTACATTTTGGGAGTGTGAAAGTAAATGTTAGCTTGAGCAAGGCAAAGACCATTGACTCTTATAAAGATATATTTTTATAATAAAGCTTTTTCAGTATAAAGTGGTTGTGGCACTCACAGCCATGTGGGTTCCTGTGTCCAGATTTTACTCCCAGTTAATAAATAAGGCCGCGAACCTTGTAAGATAGTATTATGTGTTAGTGTAGAAATCATTTTTATACCTGGCTAGTATGGTATGAAATGAATGTTCCACCGTCTTCACTGTAATCTAGGGTGTAAGTTTTTGTCCACCGGCCCCAGCCATTATCAATTAATCCTTGGGTGGCAATCCTGGTCACCTTGGTAACATTTTCCAAGTCAATCTGCAGAAACTGATGTTCGTTGCTGTGGTCGGACATCCATCCTCCTTTAAAATTTCGTATTGTAAACAGAAGAAATGAATAAAGACTAAAAAATAGGATAGAGTTAGAAAAAAATTAAAAGAGAGTATAAAGGGTAAAAGATTTATACTCAAGGTAATTCTTCTTAAGTTCTTTTTAGATCTCTTGGTTTCTGAAATTCCACTACGGTTTAGAAATAGCCACTCCATTGACGCGGATTTTAATCACGTGGACAACCCGAGCGGCTTTACACACATTTTCATCTTCGACGAAAACATCCACGCCACGCGCGTGGTAATATTATTCACGGAAGAACTGGGTACCATGTCTAAAAATAACTTGAGAGCAATTAACTTGGGAATAAGGCCTGTATGGGGTATCCTGCCTCATTTGTTGCATGTAATAACGGTACCTTCTAAGGTTGTACCAATACGTAAGGGGATCTAAATGTTCGAGTTTGAGTTCTGCCAAGATTTGTTTTGTTGTGTTCGTGGACAAGACACGTAACAGTCAGGTGCCTTATGGACTATGACTAATGGCACCTTAGGGAAGGCACGAATGATTCACATGGTTCCCTCAGCCCGTTGATCGATTGAAACAGACCTAATTCTTCAACCGATTGATCGACAAGATTGGTGCCATCAAATGCGCACGAAACGGTTTTATGCCCTATCTATAAAATTACTAGGGCCATTTTCTTGAATTTAAGTCGAGTGTCCTTAGCTTCATCGCATAGTCGATGATATTTTGAAAGAAAACATTACCTGGATTGTTCAGTCTCCCTCGTTCCGGTCCATAATAGTCACTACTGTAACTGTAACGCGACGATGCTACAATGGCTGAATCTGGTATCTTTCCGTTCTCCATTCCCAACGGAGAAGCACATACTGTTTCTGGGATTTCCACTTATGTTTGCAATGAAAAAAGGCAGCAGAATAAGCCGACTATGTCATTAACAGTATTTTTTTTTTTGCAAAAGTTTTAATGTCTTTAATTAATTTTGTGTATTCGCATTGCCTAGACCAACGGTTCGAAAACTCTACGACCAAGTGCATCGTCAAAAAATCATCATAATGAAACAGAAATAACACGCCAACTTTGAGAAGTATCGGCATAGAACATATGGAGGGAAAACTCTTTGCCTATGCCATGTGCGCTTGCGCTGCATCGGTACCGCAGAGTTCATGGGTTCGAATCCCGTTCAAGCCTGAATTTCTTATCTCAGGCTTAAATTTCACAACTGCTTAAGTTGTGTATATAAGTTCGAAGATCAATCATGTCTTCATATCTTTCTCCGCAATTCAAATACATGATTTTTCATATATTCAATGGTATACGTTTTACTCCCTAGAAATGAACAACACGTCACCCTCCTATTCTTTATAGGTTTTATTTTCCTTTATTTTACAAGCACACCACAAAGAAGCTTAGACACAAATTCCCTCTTTTTGGATATCTAATTTAAAATAAGTACTTTTTATCGCCTACTACTGTCTATCCGGCATAAGAACACTTCCACTGCTCTACATCTTAAATAACTGACCATACTAGGCGTTTCTGTCGAAACACGTTTTTAAAATTTGTATAGGTTCTGAATGAAAGCGAGGGATATTAGAAATTTACACTACGAGTGATATTTTAACATTCTTTCAAGTTGTCCGAGCCTTTACCGTTAATTGGATTTAAAAATCCTTAATCCTATATACCTTAGCAGATGGTGAAAAATAATGGCATATTCCAGCATACCTGATTTGCAGCCATAGAAGTCAGCTCTTAAACTAATCCGTTTATTCCAAGCCACTGGATAAATCCTTATATAACGTGTGACGTTGATTGGATTCTTCAGTAAATGCCTCACTACAAGAAACTGATCCGTGTTTCCCTCGAATTCCTTGTTTGAAAAGAGCACAAAGAGAAAAGGAGTATCTTTACACCAAAGAAAAGTATAAATGCGTAGATATGTTAAAAGCAGAAACATTACCTCGAGAAATTTTTATATAAATTCTAGAAGATTTAAAGACTGAGTTCATTATCATAGGCACAATCAAGTGCAGTTTCATTTTTTGCCCTTTTAGTTTAAATTTTGTATTTTATTGCTATTCCCAATCGCAGTTAGCCACATCAACTGGGCTCGGTTGTTCAAAAGCTAGACGCTGAATTGACCTTGGAGTACCTGTACATTTTGTGCTGACCCGAGCCGGGTTGTTCGAAAGCCCGTTGACGCTATCCCAAGATTAAAGGTAACCGGGGACATTGTTCTTGGGCAAGACACAGTGCCTCTCCCCGCCCAGGTGTATAAATTGTCATAATTGGCTACCGATAAATTTAATGCTGGGGGTAGCCCTGCGATAGGCCAGCATCCCATCCAGGGGGAGTACAAATGCATCTAGTGGCTTCATGGTATTGAAACCGGAGATAAGCGCCTGGCTGGCTGGTATGCAGAACGTTTTGTTAATCCACGGGTAACTAACAACTCTGTGTTGGCTTTAACAACGAAATCATTGCTTCCCTTGAAGTTAATTTACCACGCAAGAAGACGAGAAAGCACAACCTCAGTGCATTGTAATATTGTCCGAGAAAGTGGATCGAGTAGAAGTTCCATGTAATTATTCTCCAACGAAGTTAACCAATTGTATTAATTTAAGAAAAGGAAACGAAGCCTGGCGGGTTATAGCTGGACTGTCAGTCTTTCAAATCTGTATCGAGCTCGTAGTTCTGACCCATAGTTCTTGTAGCGGCGTCAGCTCCGATAGCGGAGAGATCCTTGAAACTAAAAGACTAAAGACTCACAGGTTCCACAAGGCTCAGGTTTATTGTGCCAACTGTTACAGCGATCCTGTATGGTAGGACGTGTTGGGGCGAACGCTCTAGTAGGTTCTGAGTTGTACAGCAATAACTGGTGGTTCCCGTCGAATTTCT